TCATTTTCTTTCCCCCAAGCTTTGGTCCTTGCACTTCGAATTCCCACTAAATACTCATACACGTACCCTGAATATTCCAGGGTCTTGGCATTATAACACTGACATAGGTTGTAAACACAAATTATTTTAGCTTTGCACATCCCAAAAGAGCAAAGAGCTGGCACAAGAGGTTGGACACTCAGTGAGTTTCTAACCTTTCCACCCCTGGGCAGCCAGGTTGCTTACAGGACTACCGGATCTTTACTGACCCTGCCTTATAAGTATGAAATTACAGTGTACAGGGACCAAGTGAATATTTCAGGGCTGGCAACAAGTCTGTCAGAGAGCTGGGAACCAGATACCAACATCCTCCAGTCTCATCTTCGTTTTCCCATTTCTAAGCTGCATCCCAGGATGCTCGGTCCCTGCAGTCTCACGCTGAGAAATTCCAAGTTTCCTGAGCCAAGTTCACTCGCGCGTGCCTTGCCTTGAAGTTCATTGGGTAAGGTGAGGAGTGAATTCAGCCTGTTTAAAAACTCAGTCCAGCTGCCAGACAGGAAAACCTGATGAGCAGAAAGTCAGTCAGACGTGGGAAAGGAGGGGGAAGAGGTGAGTGGCTGTTGTGTGCTGGGCAGGGCGTTTGTGCCAAAATCGGTGGATTTACACTGTTTTGGGAGTACACACGTGGCAGGGCACGTGTGTGTGCTGGTGGGTGCGCTCAGTTGGGTAATAAGAATAAATCTGCTCTGCTTTTGAGAGGCTGGGACTGAAACATGGTGTAATAGCGATGTGTATAATTTTGTACGGTGAGACAGTAATTTACTGTGCTGTTTCGGCCATCAGCACAACAGCTAGAGGCTGTTAAGATAATTTAGTGGAGGTTTGTGGTTATAAACACATTTCCATCGTGACTAAGGATTCTAATAGAAATTAAATTTAGCCAAGGGGGTTTTAGTATATTTTTTTGTTTGTTTCATACTCCCCAGTGTTTCTGTTTTGATTTATTAATGTTAAGGAATAAACTGAGGGATGGCTATTAAATGTTTTTTAACATATAAAAATAGGAGTTGTAAAATACTGGATGTTGCAATTAATTTAGTGTCATCTAATTGTTCAGCAGAGGGGCTCTGGGGTGTCCTGCTCTTGGCTGCTGATTCTACAGACATGTTGGGTAATGCGAAAAACTATTGTAATTCAATTCTTTGTTATATACATGTTTTTCACTTGGAGTATTCTGAGTAGAAGAGAAAATAGTTTTCTCCATCCATCTTGGCTTCACACAGGATAATTTGTTCAGGATTAAGAACTGGTTTTTGAAATTTAAACACAGCTGCATTCAAGTGTTCAGGTGCCCACATATCAGCTCAGGACCTCAACAAGCCCCCAGGACCTCAGCCCTGGACTTCCAGCCATGTCCTGCATCCATACAAAACCCCTCTTCCACCACTGAGAGCAAGGAGTGTGAGCGATGTGATCTGCTGTGGGAATGCCTCAGCTCTCCCACTCTGCTGCCTTAATCCTACTAATAACAACAGAAAGTTTGAAGGCTTAGTTTGGAATTGGATAGCTCGCCAAAAATAGGCTCTCCCTGAAGATACCTCCTACTTCCTGCTGGGCTGGAAAAGCTGTGCTGGCAGCCTATGCACTTGGATATTTAGGCATCTTCTGGAGCCTAAAGCATGAAGGAATGCAAAATAATAGAGGAAATCAGTCGAACTTGTTAAATTTCAGAATAGCATTTGGTTTGTGCTTCAAAAAGTGTTCTCCCCCACGCTCTTCCTGCATAAAAAGGCACTTGAGCCAAACCCCAATATTTACAAATACTTTTGAGATCTTCCAGGTGCTGGAGCTCAAGGTATTTGAGTTCTTCCAGGCTAGACCCTCTTTCTCTGAATAACAGATCTTGGCTTGAATGTGTCAGAAAATTGTGGACCCCAAACAGGTCCCTGTGCATGCAGAGCTGTATTGGCTCCATCTCTGTCTTCATGTGCTCAGGACCGGGGGAAGGAGTTACATTTAAAAAGTCCTCTAGAACAATAAGCTTTTGCTAATTTGTTACATAGAAAGGCCTCTGAAGGTCTCAGGGAATAGCTGGTACCCTCTGGTTTATTTTAGGAGTTTGCCATCAGGGGCTTCATCACCTTTGGGACGATGGGCTGGGCATGGAGGTGGCAGGCACAGAGGTTTCCTCTGCACAGCTCTCTGCAGGCTGCGTGTTTTGGTACCCTCTTCTGTCCATTTTATTTTAGTCTTCCTTTCACCTTTTCATGTAATGTGTAACCTTTAGGGGGTTGCCACTTCTCCCAGGACGTGACTTGTATTTTGGTTACTGAGCACCTGGTTTTATGGCACTGAGTGGAACTGCCTCTGTGAGTCTGTCTTAAGGTGAGTAGGAATGAGCACTGAAAGGCTGACATGGCCATACCCATGTGCTGCAGAGAATCCAGAAACCCAGCCCCAACCTCTGCCTGGACACAGCCATGCTGTGAGGGGCAAATCCCATTCCAAGCAGGACTCCTCAAAACCAAGGCAAAAATTTTAAAAAGCAGTATTATTAATGTGATTCCACATGTGGTGAGCCTGCGCTTAGGAAACTGGAAAAATCTACGTTTCCTAAGTTGTTGAATAGGAATTTTAGTGTAAAACTCTTTTCCCCATCCTCCTGCTTATAAGATTTCCACAGGGGCTATTGGGATGATGCAGACAGCTGGTAATTCACCCCACTGTCTCCCCAGCCACACCAGCCCCAGCTCTAAAAACCATGTGGGGAACAGAAGTTTAGAAACACAGTCTCAACCTTTCCCGGCTTGTTTTTCCCATCTGTTTTTAACAGCATGTTCTTGCCACTTGGACCTTTCTGGGCTCGATCTTGTGATCCCTGATGTAGTATGACATTTCCAGTTTATTAGGAATGCTTTTGTTTATTTGCTGGGTGGGTTTTTCTTTCTTTCTTTCGTTTTTTTTTCCTTTTCCCTGGGTTGTGTGGAGGCTTTCTGCCTCGGCTGCCAATGCAAACGTCCCCTCCTGTGCCGGGAGGTGCCACCCACACCCGTCCTCTCTGAAATCAGGACAGTTATCTCACCGGCCTCAAGTACTTTGAGTGGTTGGTTGTTAAACCAAAAGAAAGGCTGATAATGCTTTTTCTACCATTTCATAATAAAAAGCCAGGTCCTAGAGCACTGAAGCAAATGATGTTTTAAAATTCAGTCATTGTTTTTAAACTTAGGACTAGCAAGAAGAGCCTCAGGGCTGGAGTTTGCTTGCTGGTGGCATTTTCAGTTTACACAGCCTGCCTTTGCTTTTCTTAGCAGATTGAGTTTATTGCCTGTTGCATGCAAGTGTGAGTTTGCTTCAAAGCTGAAAATGGCTCAGCTAGCCTTCAAGTTGCTCCATCTTTCCATTTTGCATAAAATTCACTACACTTCCCTCCAGTGCTAGACAAGTATCATCAATGCCAGAGCAATATTGGGATTGTGGTCCAGCTCTGCCCATAATGTGCTGTTCTCTATAACCTATGTGTCCTCTATGATTTCCTTTGTATCCTTGAAATAAATCAAGTGATGACTTTTTGAGACCAATTCTCAGTTCCTGGCTGACATAAATCCCACTGCCAAACTTCAGAAATGCTTAATTGCTTAATTGTTTTCAAATACTTTCAGCTATTCTGTAGCAGCTAGTGAAGCATGTGGTAGTGTGGTAAGCTGCAGTCTGCGTGGTGTTTTGTGGGGGATCTCGATCTAAAAAGTATATTTTAAATGGGCAGGACAGTCCTCTGAGCATCCATGGAATGAACAGTGTTCATGGACAGGGTTTATGGTGGTGTGGGCTCTCAGGGACTTTGCTGGAGCTTCCAACTGCATCAGGAGGAGCTGGTACTCACAGTCATTTTCTTGGCCTGGGGATAATAAGGACGTGGAGGACAGATTGCTCCATCAAGCTTATATTTACTAAACTGAACCAAATCTCTACTGTCAGGAGAGTAAATCTGGCAAGTACCACATGGCTGCAACATGCTGGGAGTAGAGATGAGGCTGATTTCTTTTGGGTCAGTTCAGCCTGCACCTCAGCAAAGCTTCAGGTCCAAATCTTTAATTGCTGTGACCTGTGAATGATCCTTTGAAAAACTAAAGGTGTTGGTCTGTTACAAACACAAGCTGCAGTTGCAATCATGTGTGGGAAATCTTGTTCGTTGTCACAATGATCAGAATTTGCGTCTGTAACCATAAAGGTTTGCAGCCAAAAATCATTTATGTAGTGGTACCCAAAAAAGTTCGGAAAGTCATATTTGCATAGTGAAGACCATCCAGAAAAACTCAGAAAGTCCTGGGGAGCTCAGAACTGCTGTGCCTGCTTTTTAATTTTTTTAACACTGGCCTTCCCAGGAAAGCAGAGATGCCTCCAGAGACCCCACAACTCTGATTGCTTCCAGCCAAGCAGCAGTGGCATTTTTCTGTCCAGTGAATCTGGTTTCTGCATCAGCTTTCCCAGAGACCAGCCTTCATGTTATTTGTCTTTTCACTCTCTGTAGAAATCTGCACTTACCTCCAGTGCTGGAATATCATCCACAGATGAGTATTGATGTCAGAGCAGTACTTTATGGTATCATAGAACCACAGAATGGTTTGGATCAGAAGGAACCTTAAACATTATCTAGTTCCAACTCCCTGCTGTGGCCAGGGACACCTTCCACTGCACCAGGTTGCTCAGAGCCCCATCCAACCTTGCCTTGATTGCGTGCTTTAAGGCAAAAATAACTTACTGATATCTTCCTCAAATAGATTGGACACTCTGCATGCTTCTGGGGTTTCCTCGGGACATACTTTGAGCAGCATCGGCCCAAAGATGCTCCCAAAGACCTCACCTCCTCCTGTGCAAGCTAAGATTTGCTGATTCGCAGCATTAAACAAAATTGAGGTGAACTTCATCTTCCTGTTGCATTAATGAGACTTGTTTAATGACAGACACCATAAAAATAAAAGGAACCAGCTGTAAGGAGGTCTGATTGAAAGTGCAGCTTGCAGAGCAAGGTCAGGGTGGCAGTCTGCATGTGGCAGCTGGTCCTCAACTGCATGCTCATCCAGCTTCAGGACTGAGGGATACAGAGGATGAAACACCAGGCAGGACCAGTCCGCTTGGATGGATTCATCTGACTTGTTGCAGCACACTGAATTTGCACTTTTGGGTTTATTTTCAACCGTGGGGAAGGCCTTGTCTGCTGGAAGTAAAACTCATCCATGTGTGCTTGGGGTCCTCATCTGGCTTGAGATGGCTCTAAGATGCAGATGTGTTGCAGAGTCTTTCACCATCACATTTCCAGCCACTTGGGGAGGGAGCTGTGGGGAAAAGAGGATGGGGCTGATGCTGCGCAGCCTGAATAGAATGTGGCCTCTGGGATGCAGGAGTTTCATGCCTGCTCATGACCCTCTTTCATCCTACAGCAGGATTCTTGAAATAATAGGGTTTTTTTTATCCTTGTGGCCAATTTATGAACCAGCTTCTACCAATGTCCCCGTTTTCCTAGGGAAAGTGGCTGCTAATTTTTTCTTCACTTGTTAGACTTGCTGTGTGTTTCCCTGCTGGAGGATTACGAAGAAGGTTTTCAATATTCATACGCTTAACTAGGTTGTGAAAAAAGGGCTGTTAGTTCCTCCAGTTTGATCTCAGATCATTAACTCCATGCTACTGCTTTCCTTTGCCATCTTTTATTCTCCTTGTCCTTCCTAAGTGTTTGTTTTTTATTGCTCTGTGTATCCTTTTAGCAATAGTGCTGGCATATTTATTATTATTAGTTGGCATATGTGCAACAAATGTCACACAAGGATCACAGGAGCCGTTGCCTTGGAGAAATTGGTGTATTTATCCCACATGGGGAATCAGAGGCACCAAAGAAACCAGATGGGCATCAGCTCCAGTCATGCCCCAACAGAGCTGCCCGTGATTTCTTTCTAAGAGGCAGTGTGGACCTTGCAGTCATTGACACATGCTTGCTTTGAACTACTTCAGCTGTGCCCTGGAAACCAGGTACTATCCAGGTCTTTATTCCAGCAAACCTGCCACCTTCAATCTTGCAATCCTCCCCATTATGCTATCCAAAACCCCCAGCCTGCTGTGGGCTGGAGCAGTGCTGCAAAGCAAAGAAGGGGAAAATAATAGTAGTAATAGGAGAGACCTGTTCTGGAGATGATAATGATAATAATTTTCTCAAGGTGTCATTTCAAAGCTGCCTATCTAGGTTTAAAAGCAAGGCAGGCAAAAGGACCAATGCCAGGGCTTTATGCAGACTTAAGAGTAAAAGTAAAGCCAAGAGGACAAAAAGGAAGGCTGAAATTCCACTTGATTATATTTTTATCCCACCAAGCTGCCTCTCAGTCTTGACGGGGGACAATAGGCACTTGTTCCCAGTAAATGTCTCCCAGCTGACAGCCTGTGCTGCAGAGAGGACTGGGAAGGGGCTCCCAGGGGTTTGCCCGTGGCTGTGAGCCCCCAGGACTCGGCTCAGCCTGGCCACCTGCCTGTGTCCCACCGCACCAGGGGAGTTTATTTTTCCAGCGCTCCCACTCAGAAACGTTTGGCGAAAGGAAAAATTGTGGAGGAGGTTTAGCTCAAGTGAGCACAAAAACATGTGTCCATGTAGTGTATTGCTTGCTGAGTGGTGGTTCGGGAGTTTTTTCCTTTCTTTTTTTTAAACATAACTGAGAGACTGGGAATCATGTGAGGACGATGGAGGTGATACCTTTCAGATGGACACAGGGCTGAGCAAATACAAGAAAGGGAAGTCTTTTCTGCCTGAAGCAAGTTCTCATCCTACTTCGGATGAATGAGTATAAAGGTGTCTAAGTCTTAGGGAGCCTTTCAAATCCTCGTGTTAAACCCCTGTCTTAAGCTACTGTTGTCACCAGCATGACCATCCATCCTCTCTTCTCATGACCCCACGAGACAAAATGGGCTACAGTGTCACACTGTGTCCTCTTCTTATCTCATGACTTGGTTGCTGTAGGGGAGAAAGGGACAAGATGCAAGAAGACTCAGGCTCCTGGACTTTAAAACTGGAGAGAGCTGTCCCCCACCCCCTATCCCAAATTTATTCTTGCACACAGGCTTCTCTCTCCTACCCTCCACAAATGAAACATTGCTTCATCCAGAGATGAAATGCTGAGCAAACAAATTGCAGGTCAAAGTCTCCCACTCCTTCCCCTGCCACATTCCCATCTGCACATTTTTGTGCGCCATCCCCGCTGCCTTTTCCCATGCCCTTTGTGGGGAGCAGGGTGGGTATGCTGGCTGTCACACAGCAAATGCAGCTCTGCAGATGTGAGCTGCCTTTGGCAGGCTAAAGGGAAGGGAGTTGTTTGGGGAACAGTATGGAAGTCTGGGCAGATAGTTTCCACCCTTCTTCATGAACAGAGATCGGCAGAATTGTTCTTGAAGAGAAAACAATGGTACAGCACATTTTGGTGAGGTTGGTTGCAGGCACTGAAGTCTGAGTCACATATGTGCTAAGCTCTTTAATGTGTTTGTGCAGGAGAAATGGGGTGAGAAATAAATCCCCTCTCACCCCATAGGGATGTGTACAAGGAGTAATGCATGTGGATTTGTCTACCCTGGGATGATGCATCCCAAGGAGGAGCTGTGAAGCTTGGCTGGCAGCAAGATGGGCGATGTCAAAATATATTAGATGAAACTCCTGAGCACGCTGAGACAGCTGCCAGGAAGGACGACTGTAGGGTAAAAGAGGGAACCACAGGATTTAGCAATTTTGGAGAAAAGCAGAGTATTATGAGCACCCTGGTTTGGGGCAGAGGGTTTGCAGAGTGGAAGGTGGTTTTTTTTTCTGGCTCCTTCTGGCTTTATTTTTTTCACTATAACATGGAGACCATTCACTGATCAAACCATCTTGTAAAGTTAAACCCATACCACGCAGGAGCCTGGAGGATTCCTGCTTACACCTCCAGAAGGTGTGGTGGACCTGACTGAAGTCACCTGGAGGGTTCTGCTTCAGAAGGTAGTGACGTAGAACCACTGTTCTGTCTGCTAGTCCCTGACATCTGTACTGCCTTGGCCAAAAAGTCCGTGACCTTGATAAAGATGGAGACAAGGGTTGCAAGCTGGCATATTGCACTGAGTTTCAAGCACCTGCTGTAGCCAGCTGAATTCTCCTTGGGCTCTTTCTCTAGACAGTTATTTTCTTTTCTGGCTGGGAGCTGATACAAAGACACTAAATGAGAATTTAATAGTGAACTGACTCATCTCGACTTGATCACACTACAGGCATGCAACTCACATCTCCATCTGGGCAGCTCTGTCCAGAAAAGTGTTGTGATACCCACATGTGGGAGAGGAGAGCTGGGGCCTTTACGTGCACGAGCTGTGCCCAGAATAGGACATCACATGAGCTGGTTTACAGCAACTCCAGCTGGCTGTATCCTGGGAACTTTGCAATTTCTCTTTTTCCTTCTGTGGAACTGACCTGAGGTGGTTGGGTTACTCTGGAGTAGAAAACTTCTCACATGCATCTGGGGTCTCATGTGAATTCATGGTCCACAGGAATTCAGGAGGGAGGCAGTGGGAGTACTGGAGAGAGGACCAGTTTGCATCTTTCTCATTCAGGTTGGTAAGATGCAGTTTTGTCCATTAGGGAATAACTGATAATGATCCAGTCCAATCTCAGTGGCTGCAAGATGTCATCTTGGAGTATAATGGGTTTAGACTGATTTTCAGATGGATCTCTGTGGATGGATGGGAAATCCGGCAGAAGATGGGCATCCAACTCCGTTATGCTCATCCAGCAAATCATTCAGGAACAACAGTTTCTCTCTGGCAGCTCTCTGCCAATGAGGTCCTTATCAATTACTCATCCATTGGCTCACCCCAGCCTCCTTTCCTGGGCATCCAGAGACTGTGTATCCCAGAGAACTGCTGGGATTTTCTATCTTACAAAGTCTGAAAGCTGAGCATGTTTTACATCAAGTGCTGCTGGTGTAAAATCTTGAATAGAGCTGTCAACACGAGCTGCTGGACTATCTCAACAGAGGAGGAGAAAGGGATATGACTTCTCATATCCCTACCTTGCCACTTATGAGTTTTCCTGCATGGCTCAGTCAAACCAGTCCTTTCCCCAAGAGCACACATCGTGGAAATCTGACAATTTGGCTTCTTCCTACAGTTTTTGTTGCTTCATTGAGTCCGAGCTGTTGACTCAGCAGTCTTTCTTCATGTGATTACTTGAAATAGTTTCCCCCAGGCAGATGGCATGAGGACAGGACAGCCTCAGTGACACAACTTCTCTTTGAGAAGCTGCCGTTAGTGGTGGCTTCCTCTAGGGTGATTCTGCTCTCTACAAGGTTTTTAACTTCTCCTAAAAGCATCTAGGGGAAAATCTTCTTCAGCAGTGTTTTTTTTTACCTAAAGGCAGCTCTTGTGAGTGACTTGGAGAAACAGCTGGCAGCCTCATGTGCAGCATGTCATCTGGGTCTTGAAAGCGTTTTTGAACTCTTGGATGAAAGGTTGCTCCTCCTGAAGCATCCCTCCTTCTTCCCATTGGACACAGTGCCAGCAGAAACCCTGGCACTGAATATGAGCTCGTGCACCACCTCTTATAATATTGTTAAAAATCTTTCTAA